GTGTTGTCTTAATTCAGAGGGCCCCATGCCTGTCTTTGCCTAGCGCTGCAAATTTTCTAAATCCACCCCTGCATATTTTACTTACTTATAAATAAGCAGGCTGCATCTGAAGATGGAACAGTGCATCTACAATCTGCAACCACCTGATTGCTTGAAGTCATTGACTTTGCAGGCTTTTCTCCTCCTGGATGATGTGTTGACAGTAGACATCCGCGTACACCGTGTTGCTGACTCCGCAGCAAGAGTATTAGTTAAAAAAATGCAGTGAAAATGGATGTAACCACAGGCCCAAAGTAAACTGACATTAACCTCCACATGACCAACAACGTCCCTCTGACATTTACGGCCCAGTGGCGTGAAGGGACAGGGCCGCTAGCTCAGCAGTGTTGACACATCCGGTCTATCTGAAGCGACAGCGTCCATCTCTTACCACTTTTAAGCTGAAAAATTATTTTTTCTGTCATTCCCTGTAATGCCTGTCGTGGAAAACAAGTATTCAACTAATAACTACCCCAGTTAAATAAACTTAGATCGATGGATTTCACTTTATTTTATCTTTGCAAAGAGAACAATCGTCATACAGCCCTTATTGCATTGTAATCAGCCCTGTTCTAACCTGGACAAAGTGTGTTCCCCTTAATTACAATAATGGAAAGAAGTCAGAGTCAAAACAAATTACAGACTTTGGTTAAACAGTAACATGTTATGAATAAACCTTGAAGAATCTGGCTTCTTATAGGAATAAGGTGTGTCTTGTCTACAAACACCCTCACTCAGGCATTGTGTGGCCTTTATAGTGAGTAAATAGATTAAATCAATATATGAAATAAGAGAAATCTAATAGATAGATAGATATCTGATCAATGCAGGCCTAGATTTGAGCTTAAAACAATGCTCCAATAGATCTCCTTGGCTGTTTTTTTTTTTCATTTCCATGCTCGCTTCTCGAAGTGTGCTTCTATGGAAACCATGTGTGGGGGGGGGGGTATCACCATGTGCCTACACGCTCCCCAGAGACCACAAGCTTGTATAAATCTCTGTCTCAGGGTCTCCATGCTGTCTATAGACCAGGTTGATGGCTGCACCTCGTGTCTTCGTCCTCTTCTTCGTCGTTCTGTACGTCAAAGAAAGAGGAATTTCTGTTCTGTAACAGTAGCCCTGCGTGTTCTCTGATATCTCTCATCAGTGAATAATTATCTAGAGATCACTAATGACGTTTTCATTTAGCAGACATGAAGTGCTGCACATGACAAGGTCACATAAAGGACGTTTTTACATTCCAGGGCTGCGCCGACTGGCCGCAGATTTTATGATATTATTAATTGAACAAATTAAGTGAGCGCAGCCTTGAGGGGACGTCCCAGCTGAATTGAATTAAAGATTCCCAAGATTCCCAAGAATAGCATCAATAATGGTTCAGGCAGACGTGAGGACATGTCTTTCATTGCTCGCCGATGGGCTGGATGTGAAAAGATTATTCTTTATTTAATTTGAATTATATTAAACTCCCCCTAATCTAGATTCAAATCGTTCACATTTTACCAGACTGAGAAACAATTATTCATGTTTTAAAAAAAATAATTTTTATAACAATGTTTAAAACCTAAACGTTAATATTTTATGTAGGACTTAAGCCGTTTGTTCATTTTTTTATTGCTTTTGATGCATGCTTTGTTTTGCTTTTTATGTTTCCTGTTTTTCTTTAACCATTCCTCATTTTCCTCTTTATTCTTCGTTTTTTTTCGTGGATTTGACACCCACCAGCGGGCTTTGTGAAGTCCCCTCTGTCTGAGACCAAGCTCACTGGTGACACCTTTGAGCTGTATTGTGACGTAGTAGGTAACCCCACCCCAGAAATCCAGTGGTGGTACTCGGAGATCAACCGAGCGGACTCTTTCAGGCAGCTGTGGGACGGCGCCCGCAAGCGGCGGGTGTCGATCGGCACGGCGTACGGCGTCAACTCGGTGAGTGTGCTGGGGGTTTCGCATCTCACATTGGATGACGCCGGGACCTATGAGTGCAGAGCCAGCAACGACCCTCGGCGTAACGACCTCCACCAAAACCCAGCCACCACATGGATCCGAGCTCAGGCCACTGTAACTGTGCTGCAGAGTGAGTGGTCACTGATGAGCAACCAACCCGCCCACCCACCCAGTTCCTGTGTGACTCAGCCTCCCCTCAGGACCAGTAGCTTCCTCCATAGGTGTCATCCTCCCCTGCAGACCTGAAACCGAAGGAAAGCAGAGGAATAGTTTCATTGTCTGCAGCGAATCCTCTAATTCACTCAGCCCCTCGACGCCCGTCCGGTGTGTAGAGCCAGCCTTCCCCTTAATTCCCAATCCTCATTCTTTTATCCTTCCACACATTTTCTTTTCTTTTTGTTTTATTTTAATTTGCTAGATTTGATTTCTTTTCCACAAAAATAAAAGTAAAGGGTCAACATTTCAGCTGTAATCCCTTCTCTATGGTGAGATGTCAAGAATATTTAATATAATGATCAATGTTGCAACTCAAAAACCAAAACCTTCTACTTTAATAACACCACATGATTAAATATAGATTATTTAGAAATGCTCTTCATATGTTTTCAAAAGCAATTTCCTCATGTTTTCTTTTAGACAAGGCTGGCCTAGAAGTGTCTTTATGCCTTATCTATTTTACAAGAAGTTTGCGATTCTATTGTCTGGCGCTCATCACTGCAGATTTTAAGCTTCCTGCTTCTATCTCAGAGATCTAGAGGGAAAGAACTGGTTTTGTCAGGATCTGGGCGGGCTCATAGGGACGGGGGGTTTCTCCTTTTGTGGAAAACTGGCTTGATAATTTTATATAACTGTCTAGTAGCAGCAACACTAAAGGCCAGAACGCACCGATTCCGATTTTATGACAGAAAATTGTCGGATGAGGTCATGACGTTAAGCGTTCATTGAAAGTCTGTGGGGTTGATGACACCCGACGCACAAAAACTTGGATAAACTTCTCTCTGAGAATCCTCTCTCTGCCTCAGTCATCATAGAAACCGTTCTGTGGCGTTTATTGCTGTGTTTTTCCTTTTCCTTAAACGTTTATTCAATTCAGTTTATTTCTATAGCGCCAATTCACATCATGTCATCTCAAGGCACTTTCCAGTTCACCAGATCATCCAGTCAGATTAATTCAAAGTTTTCTATCTAAGGAAAACCAGTTCATTGACTCTTCAGCAATCCCTCACACTAAGCATGCTTGTAGCGACAGTGGAGAGGAAAAACTCCCTTTGAAAAGGAAGAAACCTCCAGCAG